GGTTCCCCAGATAACGAGACTACCGCTCTTAACCACTACACCATACTGGCTCTCAATGTCCAGTATCTGTGTCCAAGATAACTGTGCATAGGTCAGTGATCCATATGTGCCATAAATATATTTCCCTTATCGGGGAAGGGCCATAACTCAGTGGTAGAGTATTGGCCTTGCAAGCAGAAGGACCCAGGTTCAATCCCTGGTGTCTCCAGGCAGAATTGGTCATGTCCCCTCTCTGAAATCCTGGATAGCCACTGTGAGCAGTATAGACAATACTGAGATGTATGAACCAAGAGCCCCTATATTCCATAGTCCTCCTGCAAGCCACAAAAACATAATACGTTGTTCAAGTGCCATCAGGAGACAGCCTTGGTGGAAGAGGACAGTGGTGCTGAGTTTGATGCTTTAGAACTGACTCAATGTATGTTCCTCCACAAAGTTAGTAGAGCAAAGTAGTTTTCATCTAAGCTGCAGAAGAACTGTATCTTTACAGTATGCAGAACACAACCCAACATTCCCAGTTTAAGTCTCTGAAAACTGTTTTGTTGCAGTGAAGACTTTAGCAGAAGTAAGGGTTCATTACCATTTGCTTGTGTAAGCAGAAGAGATTATTTGGCTGTCAGCATCAAAACCTCTGAAGCCCATGGGACATATATCTTTAGAGGATTGTTTATTTTATTCCAGATTCCTGCACAGTTTATTATTTCTTTGACTGTATGTCTAACCTCATGTTCCAGCACAACTGCATATTTAACATTCAGATCCACCCTTTGTATTTGGGAGAAAACACAGCTCAAACCACTGTATCTGGATATGATGGGGCATTCAGAGCAGTGGATCATCTGTGTGTACACACTTTGGCATCCTTCTAAACGAAGTAGCATCATTTTAAACAACCATCCAGTCATGCAGTTCAAGGGAAACTCTGTTAATGTGATGGACACCATTTCCATGTAGGAAAACACGTTACTAACAACCAGAACTACTGCACCTATGACTCTGGCAAACACAGATGATCCACTGCTCTGAATGCCCTGCTATATCTAGAGATAGCAGCCTGAGATATGTTTTCTCTTAAATGTAAAGGATGGATCTAAAGGTTAAATATGCAGCTATGCTGGAACATGAGATTAGACATACCGCCAAAGTATTCTGCAATGTGTGATGGGAAGCACACATGACCCAGTGTGTGGCAGTTTTGGAAAAAAAGCAAATTCCATGCTAGGGATCATTAGGAACGGAACTGAACATTTCAACCATGTTCCTGTTACTGATGTGCCCCCCTGCCCCATGTTTAGGTGGCAATGACAGATTTTATGGAGACAGGCCACCAGGCATGGATCTGCTCTTCTCCTTCACTGAGTACAATCATTCTGAGATCTACTGAGATCTTATACTGTCATTGAGAAAAGTCAAAAGTGCAAAACTGGTATCAAAAGTGCAAAGATCCCAGTTGGATAGCTCAGTCAATAGTTCATGAGATTCTTAATTTCAGGGTCATGGGTTTGAGCCCCACGTTGGGCAAAAAAATCCTGCATTGCAGGGGGTTGGACTAGATGACCCTAATGGTCCCTTACAACTCTACAGTTCTGTGGTTCTATAAATCTAGCTTCAACAGATTTACCTCAAGTCATAGAATAAGACTTTGGCTTAGAACCATTTTTTGAAATCTAATTTTTTTCCAGTCCTATTACTGTTAGAAATGAAATACAGTCTTGAAAGTATGGTCATGCTCAAAGGCTTTGACTTAAGATCCCTAAAAAAAACTTCTGCTCCATGTTAGAAGTAAAAAGAGAGAGAATAAAATGCAAGATGATTCAGTGACCTGATGTAAGCCTTACTATAAATGGCAGCTGAGTTTCTATTTTTGGAGTCTCACACTCTAAGGAGATACGTTTCCTGCCTCTCTAAGCCTGAACCCTCAAAACAATTTACACTTGACTAGTCTCTGTTCAGTCACCTGGAACTGGTCCAGAGTTAAGCGGTTTCAGGTCTGCAGCCCTTTTATGCAAATAAATGAGGTGGGAAAGCAGCTATTTCTGGCCACTGCAAGGAGAGACAAATAGGATCACCAAAGTAGGCCAGGCCATGCACATGAAAAAGCAGTCAACATCTGGGCACAATATTGGGTTCTACATACAACAGTAGCCAGCAGTGTATCTTATGGCAAGAGTAAAGGTAAAGGGTAAAGGGACCCCTGACCGTTAGGTCCAGTCGCCGACGACTCTGGGGTTGCGGCGCTCATCTCATTTTACTGTCCGAGGGAGCCGGCATACAGCTTTTGGGTCATGTGGCCAGCAGGACTAAGCCACTTCTGGCGAACCAGAGCAGCGCACGGAAACGCCGTTTACCTTCCCGCCGGAGCAGTACCTATTTATCTACTAGCACTTTGTGCTTTTGAACTGCTAGGTGGGTAGGAGCAGGGACCGAGCAACAGGAGCTCACCCCGTGTGGGGATTCAAACCGCCAACCTTCTGCTCTGCAAGCCCTAGGCTCTGTGGTTTAACCCACAGCACCACCCGCATCTGGGCACAATATTGGGTTCTAAATACAACAGAAGCCATCAGTGTATCTTATGGCAAAAGTACACAACAGGGAAACAATTCTGTATGCTTGTTTCATCAGTAGCATTGCAAATCTATGAGGTAGCCACATTTGGAATACTATGTACAATTCTAGTTGCTCCATCTCAAAAAAGAGATGGACCAAGATAAACAAGCAACCAAGATTGGAGCATCTTCCCTAGGAGAAAAGGTTAAAGCATTGTGTGTGCAAAGCAGGGGAGAGGAGTAATTTAGGAGGGAAAGTGACTGTGGTTGTGGAGTTTCTTCTACAAGTTCCAAAGATCTTAGAAGCTCACTCTACAGTAACTTGGAGGAGGGCTGCCCATTTTCTGTGGAATGTTGTTGTTGTTTAGTTGTTTAGTCGTGTCCGACTCTTTGTGACCCCATGGACCAGAGCACGCCAGGCACTCCTGTCTTCCACTGCCTCCCGCAGTTTGGTCAGACTCATGTTGGTAGCTTCGAGAACACTGTCCAACCATCTCATCCTCTGTCATCCCCTTCTCCTTGTGCCCTCCATCTTTCCCAGCATCAGGGTCTTTCCCAGCATCAGGGTCTTTTCCAGGGAGTCTTCTCTTCTCATGAGGTGGCCAAAGTACTGGAGCCTCAGCTTCACGATCTGTCCTTCTAGTGAGCACTCAGGGCTGATTTCCTTCAGAATGGAGAGGTTTGATCTTAGCATTCCTGTTGAAATATGACAGGCATCCACTATCTACACTTTCCAGAAACAATTGAAGACATCTTAGTTCTGACAGGCTTTCCCAGCTGGATAAGTGGGTCTTTACCACGAGTGTCCACTTGTTGGAATTTTGGTCTTATTTTCAATGTTCTTTTTTATCTCTTTTGTACTTTTGAGTGTTTAACTGTGTTTAATTATTTTATATGTAAACTGCCTCAAGACAGTGATTAATACATCAATGCATGTGTGTACACACACACACACACACACACACACACACAGTGTTATTATTTAATAACACTAGAACTTACAGGGTCGTTTAATGAAAATGGACTGGTAGTAGATTCAGGACAGATGAAATGCAGCACTTCTTCACAAAGAATATATTAATCAAATTTATGGAATTCACAGGCACAAGATAAAGAGATGGCCACTAGCTTAGATAAATTTAAGGAAGGTTTAGACTAATTCATGGAGTGTGGAACTATCAGTCATCAGGATGGAGGGATAGGATGCTTCTAGTTCAGGGGTCAGCAAACTTTTTTATCAGGGGGCCGGTCTGCTGTCCCTCAGACCTTGTGGGGGGCCGGACTATATTTTTTGGGGGGAAGTGAACGAATTCCTATGCCCCACAAATAACCCAGAGATGCATTTTAAATAAAAGGACACATTCTACTCATGTAAGAACACGCTGATTCCTGGACCGTCCGCGGGCCAGATTTAGAATACGATTGGGCCAGATCTGGCCCCCAGGCCTTAGTTTGCTTCCCCATGTTCTAGTTACTGTATCCTAGGGAGCAACACTAGGTGAGAGCTACTGACTTTATGTTCTTCATTGTTGACTTCCTGGAAGCATCTAGTTGTCCATTTGGGGAAAGAGAATACTGGATCTTTGGTCTGTTTTTGTAGGGCCCCTTTGACATTTTTATCATGCTGTGGGTTCACCTACTGATTTTCCAGGTCAGCAAAGTATAACTTACAATCTGTACCCATGTCGGATCACTCTCACTGGAGTCTAGCAGGGATATGCCATGGCCTGACATGGAAAACTTTTCCTCATTCAGACTGTGCCAGAGCCCTGGAATTTGGCACCATTCTGCTCCATAAGTGTTGGGTAGGATCCATAAAGAGTTGAAGGAAAAGGTTGAACTTGAATTACATGATCTTGCTGTCTTATGATTCAACCTTACCGACCTTTACTAGGACAAGACTGGCAGGCTTCTTTATACATTTATTATGCAGTTAGGAGCTACTGCCCCTGTTCACTTCACTCAACCTAAGCCATCCAACCCTTTTGCCACCACCACCCTTCCCGCAAACTTGGCCAGCTCCACTACCTCACCCATTCCCTCACCTATCCGTCCACTTCAGACAGTGGTATTTTGAAGTGCCCTTGTTAAACCTCACTCCAGCTACATTGAATGGGGGTGGGGACTTCACAGAGTAGTTTTCCAAATTGCATTGTGAAACCCCTCCTTCCATTAAACAACTTGGCTAGGCTGCCTTCCACCCTGTCATTATGCTGGAGTTGGCATGGCTGTTTATGCAGCATGATGACAGCCTTACATTTTTATGCATATAGGAAAAAATGTTCTGTACATTATTCAAGTGTTTTTCCTTTTATTGAAGTCATCATATATCAAAACATGAGTACACGATCCATACACACACACACACACACATATATATACACACACACGCACACACCTTACACTTCTGTAATGAATGCAATGCAATTTGTTTAGAAATGGTCGATACTGTGGAATAGTTTACTTTATACTTTAATATAAACTTAAATAGCAACAAAAAGAAAACATTTATTGCTATAATACATAACAAGGGAGATTTGTTCCCCTTGAAATCAGATTTATAAGTTTGATTACAGAGGTTTTAGCATTTGATTATAATCATACACACACATATACACACACATTGGTATAATTTATTGACAGTGAAAGAAGTTCAGGAAGCAGTAAGTGGCATATCTGTATACTAGCACTGAAAACAGCTGATAACCATATATGCATGAGCAATCAAATGTAGGCCTACTCAAAATTAAGTCCCATTAACTTCAAAGGGACTTGCAGGTATGTGTGCATAGGATTGCAGTCTAAGTGAAATGCTTGGCCTTTTAATATCTGATTAACCTGTGCCTTTCAGGAAATGGTTAATACTGAACAGAGCTTTACTTAAAATGATGCAGCAATGCAGTGAAAAAGGATGTCCCATATTTTAGGACACTTTGGCCAGGTTATGCGTTTGTCAGCTGGTAAAAGAGCATGAAACTCTTAATCAAAAATTGAGGTTGTGCCATCATGTCTTTTCCTCTCTTTCCTAATTCTTTTGATGACACATATTCACGATGACACATCACATGAGATAAGAAACAGGAAACTGTAGGAAGTAGAGAAGTCAGAGCAGTAAGTTTGAGAAAAAAGAAATTCCATTTCCAGACAGGTATGTCAAGAATAATTTCAGGGAGTTGTATAAATGAAGAGGAACATTTACAAGTCTGAGATGGGGGGAGAGAAGGACAGAGGAAGGAGATCTTACTACATAGACTTGCTTGGACCCAAAGTGTGGCAGAAAAAGGGTTTCTAAAAGGAAAAATTCCTCCTAGCTTAGTTTCAGAATTGGTCAGTATTTTACCAATTTTACTCTCTTTGTTAATTGCCAGGACTGAAGGATGCAAAGGAAGAAAGAAAAAAATCCAGCCAAGCCATTTTTTGTGTCAGTGCAAATGCATAAAGTATCACAGTGTACACATGGGGCTTAGGTCCAGATCTGTAGCGCATTCTGTATGCATGCAACGTGAAGGTCGTGCACTACAAATGCATTCTGAGCTACCGTGTGAAAATTCACCACATAACAAAAAGCACATTGAGGTATGGTGCTGGAAGAATTAAGATTAGGAATAGTTCAGATTCATTTAAAATACTGTGATGGGGCTACTTGAATGTCAATTTTGTTTCTGCTATACATTTAAAAATACTACTATAGTAATAACGGGCTGTAAATGGAAACTAAGAAAAGGTACACTGCATGGCTTGCAGTGTGAAGTAACTGAGATTGGACATGTTTTCGCTTCCCCCGCTCATGAACCAAACAAACTTCTCCCCATCAAATGAATGGTGGCCTGTAGTGTCATTCCAGGCTACTCCTTCGGTGGTACTGTAGCATCTGTGAGGCCCCCTAGGCAGAATGAGGATGAGAGGCTAGACACCAATTCCACTTGCACCTAGGTAGGCATTCTCTTTGCAATGTATTCCATGTGCATGTTTAAAACTAACAGTGGGCAATGTGGCATTGCTCATCTGGCTTCCCAATGCCAAGCATCACTGCTAGTTACCAAGAAAGAGATGAGGTGGTAGAGAGCTTGGTGTGGTGCAGACATGGCGATGGAAGCATTGAATTGGTTCTTCCAGGCATGCACCACACTCCCTGCCCACTTTGCCGTTCCCCCATCCTTCTTGGTGCCAGCAGTGGCACTTGGGTGTTGAGAAGCCTGGTGAGCACTAGCTTGGTTAAGCAACTCTACTAACTTGGTTAAGCAACTCTATGTAACCCGAATACAGTGGTACCTCAGGTTACAGAGGCTTCAGGTTACGCAATTTCGGGTTGAGCACCGTGCTGAACCCGAATCGCAACCTGCGCATGCGCAGACGCGGTGCTGCAGGTTGCGAACGCTGCAGGTTGCGAACGTGTCTTCCACACAGATCACGTTCGCAACGCGAGGTTCCACTGCATATTTCAAGAAAGAGCAGTGCTACGTGTTATGCTGTTCATATAGCAAGCAACTCAGTTCTGCTTATTTTGAATGCTGTCCCTCCAGAAGTGATTCCTAAAGACTGGGAAGTCGAGAGAAGTGTCAAGCACATACTCTAGGGAAGCTGGGGGCCCTTATCAGACTCACCTTGGTAAAGCAGCTGTTTGCAAGAGGAAAAGAAATATTAGGTGCCTGGGCTTTCCCCCCTTTCGTTGTTACATGAGGTGTCACTAATATGGGCCGCTCCTGCTTCTCACCCTTCCAAACTGCCACTGACTTAATATATTTTTACATAAAATAGAAATTAAAAGTAGTATGTAATATCCCTTTTTTGGTAATTTTAATACTGGCTTTCAGGTGTTAACAAGCTAAAGTGCTGTCATGTTTCCTTTTTTTGAATGTTCAGTTCATACAGAACTCATCCTGAAAATGCAAGAAAGCACAGCTTAGTCTACTCCTGTTGGTATCCCTAAGAAATTTGCTTTTCCATCTTCAGTGTCTTTCTTTTGAAACCAGGGCTTTGAATTTGTTCCTTGAAGGTAAGCATCAAGAAAGTAACAGATCCCGGGAATATCACTTGGAAAGTTGGGAGGAAGTTCCTGCCTTGAACGAGGAGTAAATACAAATCCTGGATAATCTTTTAGTAACCTGCAAGAAAAATTGAAATGCGGTTAAATATAATATATATGTAACCTTTAAATAATGGTGATCAATATTATCAAAACAAATTCATATTTGTTGCTTTTTTGCATGGGAGGGCGACAGTTTCACTCTGAACTAACCACTGCAATGCAAAGATCTGGAGAATTTCTTCTCACGTTTCTAATATATGCATATATCTGTCTCTGATATTGAAGAGAATGAAAGCCCCAGGACAAGTGAATTCTGCACAGCAAAGCTTTATGCATGTATTAAACTACTGCATTGGTGGTATAAATGCAAGTGACATAACGTCTTACGTCACTTCATTATGAATCACATTGTGCGGCGATCCCTAATTTTTTATGCACGATGGTGTGCTGTATCTGCCATCAATACAAACAAATTGCTAGTTCATATATAGGCTTCCCATCTGAACAAGTTTTTACTGGAATCAAAGGGTATCTGCTTGTTTTTAATTGTTGTATATGCTTTTTCAAAACAATGTTTTTCATAGAATAATAGAATTGGAAGGGACCAACAGAGGGTCATCTAGTCCAACCCCCTGCAATGCAGGAATCCCAACCACATGGTCCCCCATCCAATTTGAAATCATAACGGACCCTGCTTAGCTTGTCAAATGTGCGACGTTTACGTATGTGCAATTGTTTAACTATTCTTGTTATTCTTGGAATAGTTTTATGTAAGCTTTTATTGTACTGCAAATCATACAATTGTTAATAAATGCAGTAAATAATAGGTAATAAGACTCTATTATTTGTTATTGTTTTGCTTGTTGGTTACAGCAAAAAAAATAATTGTCTGAAAGTGACTTACAATTTAAAAGGAAAAGGCAAAAAGCATACAATACCAAATTAAAATACATCACTTTTTGATCATTTTATTCAACCTTCCATAACATTCAGGTTTATCCATTCCTGACACTGGTTCTCTTGCTGAGCATTGCACAAAGCCAACAAGCACAAAATCTAAATGCAAACAGTCTCTTCCAACCTCTTCCCCCCACCCCACAGTTCTGCTAATTCAATAGAACCATATCATAGAATGCAATGCGGTACTTTGCAAAGGGGGGAAAGCTGCAGATAAATGTGAAAGTGATTAACAAGCCACCACTTGCATAGTATAAGAACTTTGCATAGTAAACTACTGTACCTATATGTTGTTGGGCTGACATTTATTTTCCTAGGTACGCTGCAAGACTCAAACTTGTTGGCAAGCGTTACGTTGTTTCCAAATAGGCAATACCGCGGCATTTTAACACCGACGACTCCAGCAAAGACGGAGCCGGAATGCAGACCTATGCGCATCTTTTGAAAACAAAAGGAGATATATAATATTGTTTGATTGTTACACTTGACAAAAATCAAACTATCAAAGATGCAGTAAGTTTTATTAGCTCATTTGCAATCATTGTGGATTATGACAGGAATATGAGCAGTGCAATTTGAAGAGCAGTAGTCAGATGGTAACAACAGAAAACTTCTTTTGATGCTTACTCTGAATAACCATTAGTCTAAACAAAGCATGTTTGTGCAGAGATGTCTGAGTACAGTCCAACAGGCACGGGTGATGCAGAACGTTAGTTTTGGTTTTGTTCTTTTCCAGCAAACCTTGCTGGGACAAATGGAGCTGGTGTTCTGTGGACCATTTTCTGAGAAACGAGTCCATTAACCTCTATCTTAGGAACTTGTGGGAACTATCTTAGGAACTTGTGGGAACTTGTAGGAACTTGTGGAACTTGTGGAACGTGTTTCTCAAATTTTAAGACTATTTCAACAGTTCTATCATCTTGGCTTCCCCTCAAATCAAGTACTTACCATGACTTACGATCCTGTTCTGTATTCTACAATTACATTTAAAGGATAAATACTATGCAGCCAATTTATTCTTCCATGTCCAACAAAATACTTTGCAGCATGCTGCTTGTTTACAGCTAGAAAAATTAGTTATTTATATTGTTTCTTCAAAAACAAACACCTCTCAAGAGTTATATGCACACTGTCTTCTCTTTGCAGTTTGTTCATAAACAAGGGCATATTGCATAGTAGAAATTATGTACAAAGCTGCAATCAGAATACCATTACTGTTCAAGGTATAGTCTCCTAATTTACAGGTTGGTGTTGGCAATCACTTGAAAGTTCTTTACACAAGCCCAAAGGATCAAGAGAACGCCTGCACTGACTGATGGAAGCATATTCAAATGTCAGCTCAAACTTTTACTAATATAATCCAACAAAATACTCTGCAATGCATACATGTTTTCCAGTTCCTAGAAGCCTGAAATCAATAGATAAATATATAAATATTTCTCTCAACTAGGATCCATCCACCTGCTAGTGAAGTGATCAAGCCCAGAAAACAGAAGGCAGGTTGTTATGTACTGAGTTGAATAGGATTCAGAATGCAGCAGTCTGATAGGTCCTAGAACAATAGGACCCAGAATGCAGCAGTCTGATTGGTCCACAGGAGCCACCCAATCCAGCTCCAGATAGAAGTGAATCCACAACCTGATTGGCCTACAGGAGAATCCCAGAATTACTGTATTTTTCGCCCTATAGGACACACTTTCCCCCCTCCAAAAATGAAGGGGAAATGTGTGTGCGTCCTATGGGGCGAATGCAGGCTTTCGCTGAAGCCTGGAGAGCGAGAGGGGTCGGTGCGCACCGACCCATCTCGCTCTCCAGGCTTCAGGAAGCTATCCGCAAGCCATGGGAGAGCTGCGCGACTTCGAGCAGCTCTCCCACGGCTTGCGGAGAGCTGCCTGCACCCCGAAGCCTGGGGTGCGCTGATCTCAGAGCCTCCCAGGCTTCAGGCTTCGCACAGCTCTCCGCAAGCCATGGGATGGCTAGCGGAGAGCTGCCTGCACCCAGAAGCTTGGGGCGCGCTGAGGTCAGCGCCCCCCAGGCTTCGGGCTTGCGGATAGCAGCCTGTTCTGGGGGTAGCCAATCATGTGGGGCCCATTGTGTAAATAATGTATATAAATCAGACATTCTGGGAGAACTTCCATTCCTCTTCACACTATGAGCTGAATAAAGAGCATGAAATCCACTCTCGACTCCAAGTGTATTTCACAGGTGTTACCCAAGAATTGGAGGGGTCGGTGCCTTTGGAATTTTAGAGAACTGGCAAAGCCAAGTGCCTCCCATATTATAGTGAAACCACAACCAATTTAGGATTTGCTGAGTTGCAAGGTACAATATCTCATGAGGCACGAACTGCTTTTCTTCATGCTATGCCTAAAACTAGCAGATGCTTCATACTTAGTAGGCCACAAGAAAGCAAGGGATAAATAATAAAGTTGTAGAGTTGGAAGGAACCATGATAACCATCTGCTCCAACCGCCTGCAATGCAGGAATCTTTTGCCCAATGTGGCGCTCAAACCCACAATCCTGAGATTAAGAGTCTCATACCCTCCCAACTGAGCTATCCACAATGACATTAACGTGGTTTTATGGGCACCCAGGGGACTTTCCAGAGGAATGCTGATTAACAGTAATGAAAACTCAATTTAGGATATTAGTAGTTTGCTTTTGAGATAGCTTTTGAGATAGAATACAATTACACAGCAAGTGTCAAATATTGTAAGAGCTGACTATTATTAAGTGTGTTGAAAACATTAAGTGTAAACAACCTCAACTGATAAGGTCCAAGAGCTAAGCCCATATGCCAGCTGTTAGGGATAGATAACACACTAGTCACCACATGAAGTCCCTTTCTTGGAAAGTCTAACCTTATGGAATAGGACTGTGGAGTCTGAGGGCTACATTTCCCAATAGCACTATCTATGACAATGTACTGCTAAGTTGCATTGTGGAACTATAGTGGAATATAGTACATGCTTAGTGCTCACTTCCATGTAATTTGCTTTCAGAAGAAACCCATTTGTAAATAAGATGGAAATGAATGCTAAACATGTGCTGTATTTGACTATAGTTCACTATATTCCACTATAGTTCTGGAAGTGGCTCTTATGTTGTCTGAAATCTCACAGTTAGGAAACCATCAAGGACATGGTATAAACTGCCATGTGAATGCAGCCTCAGGGTGGGAAACTGCCCTGCTGGGGAAAGGAGATAAAACAGAGGAAGAGACAGAAAAGTAGAGGGGATGTCAGCCTAGGATCAGGTCTGTGAGGGCTGATGAGACACCAGTGGAAACTCAAGTGGAAAAGAAGATTAATTCTAGCAGTCTGGGAAGAAAGATGGCCCTGAGATTCTGGCTAGACAAAGTGTCTTTGTGAGAAAGGCCATTGGTAACTGTACTGGAAGGCAAGAACAGTGACTGCAAGATGAGCTTAGCACACCAGCAGTGCTCTCCCGATTTTTATTAATGTCCACTTGGTGATTCATGTTCACATGCTGCCTGGGCTGAAAATAAATCTTCCAAACATAATTTTTGGAAGGCATATTTATCTTTTCTGTAGAATCTTGCAGCCAAAGAAAGTGGTGTGCAGTTCAGATCGATATTGAAAACTCAGTCCTTGGCCCCTTTGGGGCTCTCATTACTCTCTAAAAGTTGCCAGGTGATAATGCTGCCATAGAAAGAGCAGCTGGAATAACTCCTAGGAACTCCACACCTTGGTATGACTTTCTTTAGCAACCCTGCCCCCTGACCTTACCAGTCCTTTTGGACAGAGGTAGCCAATAGTTTTAAGCAGTTGACTTTAAACAGTGACTTTAAGCACTGTGGTCCCCCAGCCATAATTTCCTTCAGGCTGCTTATCCTCTTCTTCTCTCAGTTCCATCTCCCCTGCCCTTTTCCCAAGCCACCTATCATTCCTTCAGCTTCCTGTCTTGGTTCATTTCTTACTCTGCTCTTTTTCATTTTCGTCAGCCCCCTTGGTTTGGGGCAATCTATGTCATGACCCCGTGAGAGGGTTTCCTTCTAGCCAAACACAACTTTCTCTTTCTCCACAAAATCTGGATTTCAAACTGCTTTGTACTCTGAGCGACAGAACATCCAGTGGCAACACATCAGCTAAGCCAGTATCAAAGGTGTCACCACCACAAATCAAGTATTTGTGGGGCAAACAGAAACTTTTGTGGGAAAGTAGCATGAGGGAAGGGTTAAAGCCACTTTCTCCAGCCCTCAAAAGAGCACCTCCCACCATACAAATACCCGGTACTATGAAACAAATTCTAAAATATAGGTGGTTTGATCATGGATCTTTCACATCACACCTGGTTTGGTCCCAATTCTGCACAGAAAAGCACAAATGAATTTAGAGCACTGGTCATGAGGTAAATTAAATCATTGTGAAAGAAAAGCATTTTAGGTAATACTTCACTAAAAATTGAAAATAATGAACATTTTTTTCTACCAGCTAGTATTTAAAATATCAGCAGTTCAGTGAATTTGAGATAACATGCTAACCTTGATGAGCTCTCCATGTGGAGACATCACTTCATTGGACAGCTCCATCATTTTCAAAGCCATCAATGCAATCTGAATAGCATGGGTCTCACTTTCCTTGTGTAAGCCTCCAGCCACACAGTATGCATCTCCAATGGTTTCTACCTGAACATTAAAATACATAACTTAGAACACAAGTAAAATCACATGAAGAAAACACAGAACACACTTGGAAGGGTTGTCCATAACTCTGTCCCCTCCAAAGCGCACCCACCCACTTGAGATTCACATGAACTTGAGTTCTGGTGTGCTAATTGCACGATGCAACTTGCCAGCTGCTGGAGCAGATTATTTTGAGCTGTAAAATCTGGTTTACTGTGGTGTTTCATTATGACAAAAATGTCAAAATATTTATCTTTCATCCACCATCCATGAGGTTCTATCATCAGTCCTAGAGGCATTAACTCATAAATAGTGCCAATGAAGCTAGAAAATTTACTCCACACTAAATGCACCAAGGATTGCATTCTGAGGTATATAATTTGTTAAATGACTTATTCCAGATTAACACCATCCCCTCTAAGTTGCATTATATCACTCAAATAACCTTACAAGTTTGATTCCCCTCTCTAGGAGGACAAATTGGTGCAATAAATTCTCTACCTTATAGACATCCAGCTCTCCACACTGGTAATCAAAGAGAGTGTAGAGCTCATTGAGCATTGTGATAACCTGCATAGGTGAACACTGGGAACAGATAGCAGTGAACCCTACAATGTCAGAAAAAAGCATTGTCACATTATGAAATTTCTTGGCCTGTACAACTTGTCCTTGCCACAGCTGCTGTGCAACCTCTCCTGGGAAAATAGAGCACAGAAGATCTACTGTCTTCTTTTTCTCCTCTTCAAGGGCTTGGTGTGCCTGCTCAAGAGTAGCCTTAAGTTTTCCTAGCCTTTTCTTCAGTCCATCTTGAGCTCTGGCTTGTTCTCCTATTAAAACAACATCCCTAAGTGCATTATGAATCGGAATATCTGAAAGATAGAGGCCACGTCCTGTAAAGTCTTCTAGTCTATCCACACAGGGGGATCCCAAGAACAAGATGGTACTGGACTCAAAGATGTAGATCATCTGTCCTTTAAGGTCCATAACCTGAAACAATGAGAGAAAGATGAGGTGATGTGAGACTTCTGGAGCATTATGGAAGTTTACTAATGCAGTGATAGCCAAGTTATTAAGCCATAGTACCAAACTCTCTCCAGACAACCTGCTTTGGGTTAGAAGCTCAATGATTATTATAAAATCACAAATCTCAACACCTCTGAAGAGCTTTAGATAAATAGGGGCTGTCCCTCTACTAGGTGGAACTTAACAACTATTGTTCCCACTGGGTAATTTGGTAAGGAGAGGCACCTCACATGCACAAATAGGGGTCAATAGGAGCTAGAAAACTCAGAGTAGGGTCTGGATGCAGCTTACATGCTATCCTACAGATTTTCTGGCAAGGGCCAATATGTTTACATGCTCTCCTGTGATTGTTTGCTTTTTAAAAAACCTCCTTATTGAAATATATCTTAAGGTGGAGTTTTAACCTAGCTTTCTCCCTGACATGCTTGTTTTCCATGAGTACGGACTTTTCCTCATGAGGTAATGTTAAAACATGCATTCCCTTCACCTGCAGTCCAAAGTGGAATGACCCCAAAACAAATGTAACAAGTGGAGAATAGCTTACTTCAAACAAGCATTCCATTGTGAATGGAAGCAATAACAAATAAATGCAAGAATTTTTTATGCTTTCACTTTTGCGCTTTTGCTATGAAAAGAAACTTACATGAGGAGAAACTTCAAATTCAAAATTCCCGATGTCAAAGCCCCCCAAAATGGGAGGAGGAGTCATTCATTGCCTTGTGTAATACATCCAAAGCTACTATTGCATTTGCACACTTGAATTAGAGATGGGATGAAGAAATAAGAAATATAAATATGATAAACCTGTTCTTACCCCTGTTGACCTTTTAAGAGCGCTGTCCCCTCGTCTCACTCTTATAGTAAACTGCATGTTTAGCATTGTCATGATCCCACTAAACGTGGAGTTTATTTTAGGGGCCAGGATTTCGAACCACTCATCAAAGTTTGGCTTTGCTTGAAATTCTCTCCTACTCAACAGTCTCCTTATACCATTGCCAACTTGCAGAATAGCCATATCCTTGTCAAACATGCAATGAAATGGGAAAGTCTTGCAGAACATGGAAGCAGGAATCACAAGAGAAGACTGAGGTTTACAGGGAGATAAAGATGGCTTTGCACTTTTGACTTGCACAGAGTACAACAAATATGGCTGGTTAATAAACTCAGCGCTATCTTTGCAGAAGCAAGGGGGCATCACCGTCACTTCAACCTCTGTTTCATACAAAATGTGAGCTGCTGCTTTGATAATGCCGGACAGGATGAGGCTGGTTGTTTTCTTGGGAAAGAAATAGTACACGTTTAAGAAATCTGGGTCCTTTTCCAAGCACAGTATTGAGACCTCTTCAAGTCTGCCCTTTTTTTCTGCTTCGTGGCAGTGAGCACTCTGCTTCAGAAGAGTACTGAAACTGTTCAAAAAGTCTTTGAGGGATCCCCCGACAACTCCTAGGATATGTTCGTCTTCTTCATAGCATATTTTGAAAAGCTCTTCACCAAGTGATTCCTTCATAATGTTTACTGGAACTCCTGCAAAGTTAAAACATTTTATACCAGCATTCTTCTAAACAGTATGCCTTTGATTTTTTTTTAATCCTTCTGTGCTTCATTTTCTTTCACCCCAAACCTGTTTTCCACTATTAAACATCTTCAAACTAACAAAGCCATTTCAGATCAGTCTCTGGAGGCATCTCCTCTCATTCTCACAAAACCTCATATGGTAGGAGCAAAGTACTTGTTGACTTTGCTTTGCAATTTTATTTTAGTTTAAATATTTTAAACTTTTAATTGTTATGTCTTTAATTGTTTTATTGTATATGTTAACTAAGGAATTTTTATGTTAGGTATTTTAATTAGGGATTTATTTTATAGTCGTAAGCTGTTTAGAAATCATTTGGACAAGTTATAACAACTTTGCACGTCTATTTGTTTTGAGCAAAAAATTGGCAACCATTTCTAATGGAGGACAATGAATAAGAGCCCTTCCAGATGGACAAAAAAGAAGTGGATTAGAGTTTACTAAAATCTACAAGCTGAACTAAGCATTTGGTAGCAAACATGGATTTTGGAGTCTGAGGTGGCACTTGAGCACTGGAAAGCAACACATGATGCGTGTGGAGAAATGCCAAAATGTTCCTGTATCACCTCATGACAGAGAGATGACATTGCAGAGGAGGTGTGTACAGTGGTACCTTGGGTTACAGATGCTTCAGGTTACAGACACTTCAGGTTACCGACTCCGCTAACCCAGAAATAGTACCTCGGGTTAAGAACTTTGCTTCAGGATGAGAACACAAATTGTGCAGTGGCGCACGGCGGCAGCAGGAGGCCCCATTAGCTAAAGTGGTGCTTCAGGTTAAGAACAGTTTCAGGTTCAGAACGGACCTCCAGAACGAATTAAGTTCTTAACCCGAGGTACCACTGTACTCTAATACTAAAGAGGAAGGAGTGTGCAGCTACCCATGCAAAAAAGCAAAATAACAAAGCAAAAGGGTTCACCAAATGACTTGGGGAGGAAGGCAGATTTGTTTATATTTAATCACTTTAAGTATTATGGGCTGCTTGAGAGAGTGCTCTCCTTCTAAAGCAGGGATGGAGAATCTATGACTCTCCAGATGTTGTTGGACTCCAGTTCCAATCAGTTCCAGGGCAGGGATGATGAGAGTTGGAGTTTAAGAATACATTGAAAGCCATAGGTTTCCCATTCCTGAGCTATAGAATTTTTAAAAAAAATTAAAATGAAGCTTTTTTTAAAGGCACATATACTCACTATTGCAACAGATGTGCTTGTTTGTAATAGACACAAAGCACTTAGTATAACAATAAAGCAGAAAGGATAACATTTTCTCAGCAACCAAGTAGTTTGAGTGAGTGCCTAGAAAATACAGATCCTCTGCAACACAAATATTTTCTTAAACTAACAATTGCACTAGAAAATATCTGCTCGTATTGTCAACCTCCCACAGTAGCCAAAACCAGGTTGAATCAACACCATATAATGAAGACTGCACTGTTAGCCCTGAAAGTAATTTATTATCTCCTACTGTGTCCTCAAAATATGAACTGCATCAACATGATCCATCACTATTGCTGGTCACAAATGTGAGTAGTGTGTGCAGAACTTATTCCACTTCAAATGTTTAATAAGCATCAACTAATTGCATTATGTGGAATTGCTTGCCATAGATATCTCATTACCTGATGTATTTGCATGGTCAGTGATTAGCTTTTCAAAGTCTTCTCTTTCCTCAGAATTCCTATAAATGATGCAAAACAGAATTTTAAAAACTACCTAATCCGCAGTAAAAAATAATTTTCAGGTAATAAAACCTGGAAAAAATAAAACAACAGATAAGCAACCCAATTCGCAAAGTTAATTGGAGAAAACTTTAGATTCCCATTTACTCAAAAATTAAGTTACTCTTTCTTATCTGCTAACTAAGCAATTTTGCAGAAAAACAATTAAGCAAGCCAATGCTTTTGTGTCTCTTCCTCATACAACCTATGCTGTTCCTACACAACCACTAGCAAAAGAACTAGCATCTTTCTGTATCTTCACCACCACCGCCAAGTAATTGGAAGCAAATCCTACACTTGAATATCAGTAGGATTCACAGCTAAGTTAGCTTAAAATCATAGTGCCACAGTGTTCAAGTTCTACAAACTCAAGTTATTAAGAAAGGAATTTTAGCTTCCAGGAGTGGCAGGATCAGAGACTAGGCAAGACTGCTATGAAATTTTGCCTCCTAGTCCAATCCCTGCTTTGACATGAATTTTCATTATAAAGATTCATGACACCTATGCAACCCCCCCTCCCTTTCTTAGGGGAAATATATAGCTGAATATATTTTTAAATAAAAGTAAAAGTCAGCTACTTTTTAAAGCTATTAGTTCTCATGCCTAAGGACAACTTTGGAACTCCCATTTGTAGGAACAGGCAAACACAAAATGTCTTTGCAATAGAGAGAGGAAAACTCTAAAGGGAATACTGCTCAAAATTCAGTCTTGGTACAATGGCATACTGATAAAAGTTTCCAGTGTCTTAATGTTGAATTATTGTTTGATACCTTAATACTTAAGACTGTGTTTGGCATTTATGGTACCTGATTTCACTAACATAGGGATTTGTTATATAATCTGTGCAGTCATTACCGTAAATGGGATCCAACTTCCTATTTGGTTTTTGCACTTGTTATTGGTTGCAATAAGTTATCTTTTTTAACTTACCTGATTTCTTTTATTTTATTATTTGCTAGTGTCCTCTGAAATGCAAGATATAACCTTTCATACTGAAAGGAGAAAAGTCATATTAATTCAAATGTCAAGTTTAAGCATTTCATATATTAGAATTTCATATTAGAATGAGCTGCAAACCTTATACTAAAGGTAGAATGCAATTCTATCCAAAATTAGAACACACCTATTTGTAGATCATTGGAGTCCCCAACTTGTCCTGTCTACATTATGGTGTAGTGTAATGTGACTGATGTTTTCAGATGGACAGCATTCTGTGCCAAAGCACCTGCCACTAGACTAGATATGGATCAGCGAGACCACATTGTAAGTTCCCATACTAACACAACAAGCAACTGTGGGCCCGTATCACTGTTATGGAAATTTACTACACAGCCCATTCCATTGATAAGATGCCCAGCTACAGATGTTACTCTCCAAATACTGTCCATATTCACATGCCACTGTGGACAAATGAAGATGCAGTGCACTCATATCCATTGGATACACTTCATTACTCCTCAGCCCTTCCAACTCAGTGATTAATCATGGAGTGCTCTGATGAGCACACATAGTTTCCCATTTGTATGGGCCTGTCCATTTATTTCAATGAAGGAAGGTGATCTGTGTCTGTATTGACTCAGTTCATTGAAATGAAGGATAGATGTCACATATGAAAATGGAACACATGGAAGCTTTCAGGACGGAAGTATTTCTTTGACAGAAAGATAATGCTGCAATTCCCTTCAGTTAACACATAATGAAGTTTGGTCAACTGTATCTCAGGACTTATATATGTATCAGAATGCCCAAATTATACAATAATAGAGTTGGAGGGGACTGTGTAAGTCGCCTAGTCCAATGCCCTGCTCAGTACAGGAAATCCCCAATAGAGGATTGAACTATTTATCTATTTAGCCTCCTAATATGAAAGTCAGTATATATGAGCATATTGTGAAAATGACAGGATCTCCAAGCTTGGGCACATAATGTTTTATTGTCTTTCATTAACCTTGAATTGAGTGACACACAGCACTTTGTAGACAGCAGTTTTATGGGAAAAGAATGGAAGTATGTCCATGCTGCCTCAAGAAAAAACTACACTGGTAATGAAGGCTGTGTTCTACATTTGAAATAAAAAGAACAACTGAACGAATGTTATACCTTATTAAAACAAGATGTAATTAATATTTATATCTAAACAGAAACAATATGTGCAGTGCTTTCCAACTCCTTATTTGAGTCTGGACTTACAATCTTCTTAAAAAACCAACCAACCAACGAATTAAGAAACAAACAAAGCCCCACATGAATTTGCTAGTATCTTGAATCTCATCAAATGCTATTTTGGGCCACACTATACACTCCCCATGATATTTGCACACAACCTTTCACTGACGTCAATGGAAGCAGCATGTGTTGATCCAAGGCACGATAGTCACCTTCTCAGTTTTTTGAGTTTTCCATGTGGAAACTGCGTACATCCAGTGACGAGAGATAGTAACTTTTAAACAAATCTAAGACCATCTAAGGCAGGGGAAAGAAAGCTGGTCACAATCTACTGGGAGATCTCTGGGTGCTTTGCAGTAGATCAACAAGGGTTTCTGCCTCAGTTATTTAATGATAGCAACAACTAAATGACTCCCTCTCTCTAATTTAGGATGCTGAAATAAACAAAGCTTGCTGGTAAATCCAGCAAGCCTGAAATCTCCCCGCCCCAGTTTTTATAGATAGGTGTATCCCCCCCCCACACACACATATAATGCAGTCAATCCCTTTGCAACAATCTGCACCTTTGAAAGCAATGTTGGGACATTTTCTCAGTCAGTGTACCAGTTCAATGAACTGCAAGCCAAGTCTAGAGGCAACAATGAAGGTTCTATGGTTATATCTGAATCCTATCATTTCAGTATATACATTAACATTATGTAACATTAAATATAACAAAATGAGATGTCTCTTTTCGTATATATTTTACAGCACAATCCTATATATGTCTATTTAGAAATATTTTACAGCACAATCCTATATATGTCTATTTAGAAATAAGTCTTATTGAGTTTACACTCAGGTAAATGAGCTTAAGCTTAAGTAAAAGACAGCAGCATGAATATTATACCTTACTCCTGGTAGGCAGTATACTTTGCATGTGGAAGACGACTTGCCCAATCGCTTTTTAAAGAACCCCATACAGTGGTGCAATGAAAAAGATCTATGCTTCAGTGAATCAAAAAAAAAACAACACCTGATGATATTTGGGATAGACTGAATTGAAACAGATGAACCATTAGTCTGACTCAATGTTGGGAGGCTACTTGTCTCACTAAGGAATGCTTTTAGACACTGCTGCATTGCCCACTAAATTTGCTGCTTGTCACACTCTCCCATGGATTTATAAACTGTTTTTGAGTTACGGATGCCTTTCCTAAAACTACAATAGGGAGAAGATTAAAAAAAAAGACATTCCGTAAAAAGCAGGGGCTGAGATGTGTAATAAAGAACATGTAAAGATTTGGCATCCAATTAGCAAAATTGCCCTTGCCCTTAATAGTGTATTGGATTTCTGGATTGAAAGTTTGTGGTTATAATCCATAAGTTTTCATTTCCCCTTTTTCAGTTCCCACAGCATTATTATTATTATTATTATTATTATTATTATTATTATTAACCAGCAATTCTCTACCCACACTATGGCTTTAGCAAGCATCATTCCTTCTGCAGTGCTCAGTAGATGAGATGACAGACACCACCCCCTCTGTTGTGCTCAGTGTAAGCCACACTTATCTACACATCAATTTTTCAATATTGTACCAATTTATATGTAGGTTGCTCCAACTGTTTTCCATTAAAACTAGGTGGTTTCCAGTAGTTCTTTTCCATTCACCTTTTCCAGCTCTACAATATCTTTTGTTTTCTGAGATGTGGTCTAAAACATAACTTGGTGGTGGGCTGTGATAACGGGATTGCAATCCTGGGTTTTTCATTTGTTACCACAGCTGCTTCCCCATGGCTTCCTATTTTGCCATCAAAACATTAGGAAGCCAAGTGCAGCAGGCCAGTTGCAAAGATCCTTCATCTTACCTCTTCCTTACAGGATATGTTTGGTTGGGAAAGACCTATGTGATTGCGCCCACTCACATGGTTCCGAACTTTCACATGTTAGTATGCCAGAATGGCAATAAGCTCCAGAAAGCATCTCTCTCATGGATGCTGCTACAAATTCACTGCTATAATAAATTAAGGTGCCCTGACATGGAATAAATCTGAGTAAATCTGCTCCATCTAGATGTTGCCATGGTTCATCTGGCACAAAGTATTATCCACCCTTACTTCGCATAGGTTGCTAACCTCTTTAAATTTTGCTAAGTAACTGCTAAAGCAATGTGTGAGTAAACATTTCATATTTGAGTTGCTTTTAATCATCCTTCCTTTCCTTTCCCTAAACACAGAAGATGTAGTGAAATAAGATTAAATAAATGCAAAAGGTTTCAAACTACAGGATTAGGCATAATTAGAAATGAAAACAGAACCAACGTCAAGAACAGAGTTTGAAAAGGAGCATTCATCAAGTGAAAATTGTCTTGCTTTTAAAATTATTGCTTAAAAGGCTTTCTTTTAAAACCTCCCTTAGAATGGTCTTTTAGACTACCTTCATCAAAGCATCATAATAATTTATACCTCAGGAGAGATGAGTTTGCAGATGCTCTCAGCTAAAGTGTGCAGATACACTCGGCTCCTGCTGGTTTTCCTTTGTGGAAGGTTCCCGTGTGTAGTCTTTTCTCTGCAAATTGGCAAAGCAGCCTTGGAACTATTTGGCACTTCTGCACATTCATCCTCATTTTCATCTGAAATCCCACTTTGGGTCAATAACGAAAAAGGGCACTCGCCAGTGATCTTCAGGTCTTTCAGTTTGGTACAGAACATACTGCACAAGTCTCTGTTCACCAAAGTTGTGAATTTCTCTAGTTTGGGCTGAACATGTCTGTTCTATTAACTGACAGCAGAAGATGGCAGGAACAACTGTGGCTTTATATCCCTGCAACAAAAGATGAAACAGAAAAGAGAAGCACTGCATTTGTACATTTGTTCAATTTGGTTCAACTTCAGAAACATAAGCTTCCTTAATTCAGCAGGCTCTGGCTTTCCAACACACAAGCATGACTTCACAGTTGACCTAATGTTCAATTACTTCATACAACACAGAGCCAAATGGTAGATGTAATGTGTGAACAAGAATACACCCAGTCCAGTACTTTGAAAGGTTAGGACAATTGCACAAAGAATTAAAAATCCACAAACCCACCTTCAACACCATATACTTCAAAATGGCATTTATGTCAAAAGGTAGAGGGATTGCCATTTACTCCGATTCAATTTTTAAGAATGGGTTTTCATGGGGAAAACTCTGGAGCAAAAAAAAGGAGGGGCACTTGGACATGGAGCTTTAAAGTGCAAACCACGCCTGGAAAGAGCGGAGGAAAGGCACGTGTGGATAAGCCCCAAAGGAAAACTACATTCACTTGTGTATCTTTCCAGGATTCAATCCAGTATCACTTGTCTTTTCAGTACAAAAAAAGAAGGGAAGGTTAGATATAAGAAATATGGGCTTCCAGTATACCACTGAGAATTAGGTCCTCTTATTCTCCTCTAGTGGATGCATATTATTTCAAAAGAAATTCACCTGGAGATCAGCTGGATAAATTATAGCTTCTCCAAATTAATTGGCACAATCCTAGCAGACCTTCACTGACCATAAAGACGCTTCCAGACTTTGTGTTCTTTTGTGAGTGAGTGACAGTGTGCCTGGCATGTCCAATGGGGACAGTACCAACCTCTGCAATGATCGCTGCTGGGGGGCGAATTAACTTGCAGCATCAACTAGCACGGCCATTATGGTGCAATTACAGGGAGTAATGGCACTAAGGGCTCAGCTACACAGCTGCAAATAAAATGTTTTAAATGTGTTGCAAAGTGCAATATACAAATGTATATTGGATGGCAACAGTGAGCTATGGAAATTAAATGTATTTTTCAACACATTTTTTAAAAAAGCACTTTCACAGAGTTTTTTTTATATGTGTGTAGAGTCCACCTCTGTAACTAAAATAAGATAATATGAGTAAAGGTTGGTATCTTATTTGTTGCTGGAGGCTGAAGAGCAATATTTGTCTAGTCCTATGTACCTTATGTACAGAAAATTTGGAACGTCTCCAGATCAACAACAAAAATAACCTCCTCTATTTGTGAATATAACTACTTCAATACCCTGTAAGGTAATGTACAAAACCTAACTCCCTACTTTTCTTTCACATGTTTTGGCAGTAGGTTTTATTCTGAAAATAATGTGTAAAACAGATGCTAAGTACCAGCAACTTCGAGCCTGGATTCTTCCAATGCTATCACTTTGCAATCATCTGGATACATCAAAGGTTGGCTAGAACATCATAACATTTCTCATGATCTAAATGTTAATGTGGTAGAATCATATAATTGTAGAATTGCAAGGGACCACAAGGGTCATCTAGTCCAACCCACTGCAATGCATGAACATATTTGAAACATTATAAAGGACATTATACATAGGACTGTATCCCGTGCAACACTAAGTTAAAGTCATGTAGTGCTGGCAGAACATTGTGGTGCAAGAGAAAACACAAGTACATGACCTAAGATTGTTCAACAAAAATCTGCTGTTGAGTAAGAAGCTTCTGCTAGTGCAATTCCTAGGTGGAATATTTTGTTGCGCACCTTTGCCCATCCATTAGCGCAAGGACTCTTGCACTAGTCACTGGAGAATGATAGATATGACCCATACTACTTTGCTATGTATTAGACAAACCATCACTGCAAGTGTGATCCACTCAATTTTATTCATTCCCAACCTACGCAAGAGATTTTAGGTTGATTTGTGCAAGGCACAGCAAAACACATTATCACTGATATGTGTAGATTGTCTTCTGTCGTCTTTAAAGTGTGCTTTGTCATAGAGGCAGACATATACAGTACAGCACTGGATATACAAATAGTTTATTTTTGCAAAAGAAGCCAGTGTAGTTGTTTGGTTATATCATCATTATGTCTCCCAACCAATCTGATTACAGTATTAACAAAGCAAAAGTACAGCCAGCCAGGTTGGCGAAAGATCTAGTCATACTAGAGAATATACATAAGCAAACAGAATCGCACACAACACTCAAAAAGCACAAACTGACAAGTACTTAGATTATATAAACAAGCTGGCTTAACTTTACATGCCAGAAGAGAATATGGAGTGAGTACAAGATCCATTTGAGAGGGTGAGATAGAGGATAAGAGGCTATGTATGATTTAAATAAAGATCAAAACTCAACAAACTGAAGCACATTGTGTGTCCAAGATAAACACATTTATTTATTCTTTACTGAACTGGTTTCCACTCCACCCCCCCTCATTTTTGCACCCAGTGTTATAAGAGAGAGCAACAATAATGGACTCAGATAAACAGGACAGTGATAGAACCATAGAAATGTAGAAGAATTTGGTCTATTTCCTCTATCAAGATGATCCTCTGAACTCAACAATCCAGAAAAGATTCACTCAACTTATCTAGGTTTCAGCCTGCCACAAGAGCAAGAACAAGTAAGGGCAAATGAAGCCGTAGTTGTCACATAGCTACTTTCTTTAGCCTTAACTCCACCTCAATCAAACTAATCTCTGTTGAGTACCAAGCTACCTTGCTGCTTGGAGAAAACAAGCATCTTCTCACCAAACCCAACTTGCATAGTCTATGTATCACAGATACCAAACTTACTCATTGTCTGACAAAAGGAGGTTGGTTGGTACACTGGGGTTATTATTATTTCAAAGGAGTTCTCAAAGGGTTACTTTTCGTTGCCAAGTAACTGGGAAATATTCCTGGAACAAGGAGGCAGAATCAATCTATTTTGATCTATCTGGGCAACAAGTATTACAAAAATAGTTCTGAAGCCATTAGCTTTATTATTAAGATGTGTAAAAGAAAGATTTCTTTGGCCTTCTTTGAAAACCATGGCTGAAGTCATTACAGCCCATGGCAAATAATTTCAGCTGGGTATGGATTGCACGCTAGGTAAACTGAGTATAAGGTAAAACACAGTAGTTCGTGGGGAAAACTGCAATATTTACATCTATTGCTATGTTCTATGCAGTGTTCTTTTTATTTAAGTTATGAAAATCAAGCTTCTGTCAGTGTCAGTAAAACCTAGTCAAGAAAGGCAGCATATAGAAATGGCAGGAGATTTCAGAAGGTATGAAAAAATGATTACCATTCTTCTACGTGTAAATATCTACACAAACAAGTATTCTGCACAGATAGAAATGTGGTCATACATGTAGGATTATAATAAACTAAGTTATACTCAGAATGGACTTAAATAACAAGTCAATGAATTTCAAGGGATGAACACTACCCATAAAACAGACATCAGACCTTAAATGCCAGGGATATTGGAGGGTTCAAGTCTTCCTTACTTCTCAGTAGGTACAAAACAAAGAAATGTTAACTTAATAGCTGCTTAAATAGCTGTTCTTTTATTATTAAGGCAGTAGAGTTCTTAAAAATGCTATACGGTTGCATCGGAAAACACCCAAAGAAAGAAAGTATTCACAGGCAAAACATGGTACAGTGTAACAAAGGAAGCAAAATTACTGAACCATTTGGAGGATAGTGAAGTATGGTGTTGATAACTTAAAAACAATTAAGGGCTGCTTCCAAGTTAATATTTTGCAAGCCTGCAGGGGCAGGGGAGCTAAACTGAAACAAGAGTATAAAAACAAACAAAAAAAGAGTATCAAAGCTCTACATACATAGTTATCTCTTGTGCATGCATAACATCTGTTTGTATCACTGTCTGTTCATAAATCAAACCATTATGTTTACTCCATATAAAGCAACTAAATATAGAAACAATGTCCTCATCGAAGGCTCAGTGCGATGGTGAGACTGCCCAATAGGTCCATCCTTTCTCCCATGCTAATGTTACTACCACATGGTGTGGTAGAAACTTTCTAAACAACAGACAGGAACAGAATATGAACATATATGACAAGCAAAACATGAAATTAAGGAACTCTCCAGAATTCATTTTGATTCTGACACCACAATGCATGCAATAATTTTTAGCACGGAAGAACATCTTAAGACTATTTTTCAAAGTTTATCAAATTCAAGACTAATCTGTAATACTAAAAGTCAAACACAAAGCCTCTCCCATACCTTATTGATCTTTTGTACTTACTTCTTATTTTTATAATATAGATTAGTCATGTTCTGGAGGCACTTATTTAATTATGTATTAGGCAGAAAGTTAATTTCCAGAAATCTGGAGTCTGGGCTAACATGATTATAAATGTCTGAAGACTGCTGTGTGGAGACAAGTCTTAAGGAATCATGACAGGAACATAAACTTTACGTATATCTAGTTTTTCATTTAAGACTGCAAATGCACCTGTTAGCAAGTGGAATACCTCTGGTGAGGCAGGGCGAACGAGGGAAGGGGGGCTTTATAAATGGGTGTTGGAGATGGGAGGTACCTGTGCCCACTCCCCATGTTGCTGAACCACAACTCCCATCATCCCTGGCCATTGGCCCTACTGGCTGTGGCTGATGGGAGCTGGAGTCCAAGAGCAACAGGAGCTCCCCATCTATGGTGTAAATTGTAAAACCCATCTATGGTGTAAATTGTAAAATATCGGAGAGAGGAGAAGCGGCCATGGGCGCCTGGGTTGCTGCGGTGCTGGTGTCGGGCGCGCTGCTGTGTGCCGTCGGGGGGCGCCTTCGGGGCAGGGGCCAAAATCTCAGCCACTCCCGAGGTGACTGCCGGCTCGAACGTGATCATTTCCTGCAACATCACCGAACCGCCAACCGCCGTCAAAGGCCACTACTGGGAGAAGGGGGGAACGAGGCTTGATACGAATGAGACTTCACCAGAATTTACCTCATACCTAATCCCAAAAGTGGACCACGACACCTCAGGGGAGTACCACTGCATCTTCGAAACTGTTCCCCTTTCCAAAGCA